TCTGTAATGAAAAACCTAAGGTTGGAACTTGGGATAGTTAGTGTTCTTCCAATAATTTATTCAAATTTTTTCCTTCATATATGTTTACGAGAAGTGTTATTAAAGATTCATATTCAAGTTCAAAAGAGAAGGTATTCACTAAACTTGCTTCATATTTTTAGTTGCTGTAATTTGTAGTTTTAATGTTATGATTGTGTATCTATTAACTTATAATTTTCTTATATGATAAATGCAAATAATTTATATCCATATACTATATTAGTACATGGAAAATGAATGAATTTTAGTAAATACAAATAAATCACAAAAATATGTGTATAATTATTATATAATAAATGGGTTATTAGTGTCAATCGGGTCTCATCAAGTGGAAGAATTTGTTGCATGTATTACTGGGAGATAGGCAAATTATGTTGAAATACAAAGAGTGAAAATAAAAAACGGAAAAGTATAATAATAATTTCAAAAAAAAAGACAACCATTGTCATAGTACGATTGATATTGTCTAATAATAATCTCCCATTTGCTCTTTTGACTACCTATCACTTGACTGTAATCTTTCGGTCATTGTGCCTGACCATTCTCGTCCAATCATTATCGTTTGATTGTTGTCTCTCAGCTACGATCTCTCATATTATTGACGTTTAACGGACATCATCTAATCACTATTATCACCCTCCACTATTTTTTATCAACTTCCGCTACAACTACAAGAGACCAAGCATTTACTCTAAAATTTGTAATCATGTCTTTTTCAGCTATGGGGAAAATCAGACTTCAATAAGGTCAAATATATAGTAGACTATTTCAACTAATCCAGATGCCGCAATCTTTTCCCTTTCTGAGTTTTCACATAAAAACGTTGGTGTCTCATGTATTATTTTATCTTTCCAAAAAGTATGCTAAATTTATGTACAAAGTTAAGATAAAAAATTGTCTCTGTCACTACAACTTTTCTTCAATAATACGATGAATAACTTTTAGAAATGTTATGAGTCTTCTAAGTCTTCATTTGGTATAATTTTATTATTTTTATGTTTTTACTATGTTATAGGAAATAATATTTTAAAAAATAAGGTGATATATAAATCACTTATATGTTGATCAAATATGAAGAATTTGTTTAAATAAATTGGTGATTTTTTAGCATACTTTTTATATAAATTGAATCTATTTCTAAAAATTAGACAAGAAAAAGGTTGAATCAAACAAAACTTTGCTTTGTTTGGATTTACATAAGTGAAGGAAATAAAATAACATCTTAATTTTAGAATATTTTGAATATCTTGTCATTCATTTCATATATTTCAGCTTAAATTCCCTCTATCAAATGAAGGCTAAATGCTTAATTAAGAGGAAACTAACTTGAATACAGTAGCTATCAAACAACAGTCAAATAGTCAATAGACAAGCAAGTTCGCAAATATCATATAAAAATTGAGCAAAGATAGTTTCAACATTATTCTAAGTTCCTTACTTGCAAATTCAAATCTAAGATTTTATAATAATTACTTGGAATATTGTAATGCATGCCATATTTAGAAAAAAAAAATTACTATTGAGTTAAAAAATAATTTGATTTTTTCACGTTAAATAAATTGTGTTTACCATTTATCAGATTGATAAGATTATCAATGCTCTATTTTGAAACATCTCATTAGGCTAGACTAATTTATTTCATTTATCTATTTTATATTTTGGGTAGCACCAATCTCATTAAACTCTATGCCATATGAAAGAATTTTAATGCATCTTCTAAAAAATTAATAAATATAGATTTCTCTTCACTCACCTCACCCTCTCACTCGCTCGGCTTCGAGCTTGCCCAAGAAGGAAAAACATAGGAAGGAGAGGGGAAACATAAATCAGATTTTAGCAGCCGGATTGTTCCGCCTCTTTTACGAAAATTGCTCAAATAGATATAAGTGACTTATATCCTATTTTTATTTTTTTAATATTTTGATTTCGATCATTTGATTTTCCACAAATTGATTTTCTTGTGTGTGTGTTTTTTTTCTTTTAATTTAGTGAACTTCTACTGCATAACTTTTGTATATTGTAGTACTAATTGTTCTGGATATTTCGACTAACTGATTTTATAATTTCACCACTTAAAATTATAGTTATTACATTTTTTAAAAATTATACAGAATAGTTATTTTGGCGTTTTAATTTGATTATATTATTAATGCAAACATTGTGAATTAATTTGGGCATGTGATTTGGTGATAGTTGATTATTATTACTTTTATAATATTATAGTAATAATATGTTTGAAGACAAATAAAGGTCGGTTATTTACTAACATTGGCTGGAGACTAATTTATGTATATACAAAATGGTGGGTCGATGATATTTCCTTTAAATACTATGATTTGGTGTTGTCCTTTTTTTTTTAATTAAGGGATTAATTTTGACTTAGTGTTGTCCTTTATTGATTCATTTGATTCACTAATTGAGTGTTATAATGAGTTAATTATTGTGTCGATGGATAAGAGTAACGACTTTGTTTACTGAGTCAATGCTTACAAATTTACATATTACTAAAAAAATATAATTCAAGCTGAAACTTCTTACTTGTTAAGTATGATTGTTAATTTAGATATAATTCAGAACACCATTTCATTATTATGGATATTTTGTTAATGATTTAGTATACTATTATTGCTGGTATTATCACACCCTAACCTAATCCGAATCGAACCTATCATGTTGAGTTGTGACAAGAAAATCCCAAGATCTTATTTTGAAATGTTACAGATTCGCATACAATTTCATGTCAAATAAAACTATAGAATACAAAGCTACTAAAACATTCAAATACAAAAAATATCCTCATTAATAAAGTTTCTTTCATTTCATCAAAATAAATATTTACACTACAGTACATGGCTACAGGTAAGAGTTACATAATTAAAAATTTAACTAGCTATGACTACCTATTAACTCAGATTTGATCTTAAACTGCTAATCATCATTCTTCTTCCCTTTTTCATGTCCTGAAAATCACAAACAAACCATAGTGAGCTATAGTAGCTCTGCAGGCCACACAACTGATCTAAATTTCTAAGTATTCTTTTATTAAACAATTTTTAGAAAAATGCATGTTCATAATTATTTTCTCTATAACATATAAAAAGTAACGTGACAAAAGTTTTTCTTATGCAAAGTTATGCACGTTTTTCATTAATGAAAATGTAAATTTAATTGAAATTTTTTATAAAATTTCGTATTTTTTAAAATTGAGATATGCATTATATGATCTAGCTCGATCCGAACAATTTTTTGAACTGGGTCGATGGCTGAAAAAGATCTGAAGAGACTAAAAATTCCTCTTCTTCCTCCCTAAATCTTCTTCTTGCGTCTTTTTTCAGTCCGGTCAAAAAAGGTCAGTCCAAAAGTTGAACATTCAGGTGTCACATATCTACTAATATTGTATTAATTTATTATTATTTAGCACGTAATTTCTATTATTGAGCATATCATATAAGCTACTAATTGATATTAATACTAAGATAACTGAAGATCACGTGTACACTCTTATACGAGTATTGTATAGTATTGTATTGTATTGCTATGAATTTTGACATTTTTCTTGAGTTCTTTTGCTTTATTAGTTTAATGAATTCCTTATTTGGATTAGATAGTATTGTATTGCATTGCTATGAATTTTGACAATTTTCTTGAGTTCTTCCACTTTATTAGTTTAATGAATTCCTTATTTGGATAATAATGCTACAATACTACATTATCTTACTGGCTTCTATACATTATTGGTTTACTGATTCATAAGATTCACTGTTACCGCATGTGTTTTACTATTTTAGTGCAGATTCATGATCATATTAACTTCCATTATAAGATTTCATGCATAATATATTTTTTTTTTGTACTTTGAGTTTAATTGTAAGATTTTGATAACCTGTTGGACTTCATAAGCTTAATATATGTGGTTTAAATGATTTCATATCACGAAAGATGATCGAGAGTGTGAGATTGATCAGATATAAGATTCCTTAGGTTGTACTGTTATTTTGTCTTTTTATTTTCTTTGATATTCTTTTGTAGTGATGAGTTGATGGTTAGTATGTTATAATGTATGACTCATAACTGATGTATATGATTTTTTGAGTATTTAATATGGATATACACTGGTGTTTTGATCAATAGATTTCTTTATGCTGATATTAACTTTTGTTCTAATAGATCTCCTTCTATCAACTCTACTTATAGATACTTGGATTAACAGAACTTATGTTAATTATTTTTTGGGAAATATTTAGGTCATTTAAGATACTCACACACACACCACCTACGCAAGACTCGAATTCAAAACTTCTTGATTAGCAGTAGCCAAAGCTTCCAACCAACATATCAAAATGAGCTGCTGTTGCGTAGTTATTTTAGTTATGGTCAAGCTAAATTTTTATAAATAATTTAATGAATCATCTATTATTATCAATCAAAACTATAATTAACCTAACCAATTAACAAAATAGGAAAATTAATAGTTTTAATTGCTTGACTAAGCTCCTTTTTCCTTCAATTTATTCCCAATCATTTAAATTAAATCACACCATTTAAATGACAATAACTGTATCATCTAGTTATCAACTTCACTACGTAGGTTGAAAACAAGAGCTAAGAAAGAAATATCGGGTCCCACTCGACGTCGACGCAGAGCCCATCTTCTCGTGCCCTTTTCACTTCTGGGCCCCACCCGAAATCCCAGCTCTTCTTTTCCCATCCAATCAGCTTCTTCCCCAACAGATTAACCTCTCCCTCCGACCAATGAAATTCAAGATAAGGCACTCAACCCGGACCCACCCTTCCAAAAGCGCAACTAACCTATCCCAAAAAGCTCACTCGTGGGCCCCACCAAAACTCCAGTCTTTGAATCGAAAAATAGGCCATTTAGTTCATAAAATGATTTTAAAATTGCGTTTAAATAAAATAAAATTATATAAATTTACAAAAAAAAATATTAATATTTTTTAAAAATCAGATCTTTTTTTTCCATTAAGAATGAGCCACTACTCCGACAAATCACGGCCGGCGGCGGCCGTCGGCGGTAAAACGGCCCGAGCGTGCGATAGCTGTATCCGCCGCCGCGCCCGGTGGTACTGCGCGGCAGACGATGCCTTCCTCTGCCAACCCTGCGACTCACTCATCCACTCTGCTAACCCCCTCGCGCGCCGCCACCACCGTCTTCGCCTCAGATCCTCCTCCGCTACCACTGCTAAAGCCGCAGCTCCGGCATGGCATTACGGCTTCAAACGCAAGGCTCGGACGCCTCGTTCACATCAAAAGCCAGTGGTCCCTGAGCTTGAGAGCTCGGTGGAAGATGAAGAGGAGGAGGAGCAGCTCCTTTATCGGGTACCGGTATTAGATCCAGTGCTTTCCTTTGGCGATACGGCGCCGCGGTCACAGCCGCAGGAGGAGGCTGCCGCAGCATCGGCAGCAGGGGTTGGGGCAGAGTTTGCGCCGACGGAGATCGAGCTGGCGGAATTTGCAGCAAATATGGAGAGTTTGCTCGGACGGGGGCTGGACGGCGGAGAGGCGTTTTGCATGGAGGAGTTGGGATTGGGTGAGAGCAGCAGCGGCAGCGGAGGCAGTGGCGGTGGTGGAGGAGCAAGAATGGAGGTGGATGTGAAGGGGGAGATGGAGGAGGAGGCTGGGAAAGGAGAAGGACTGAGTTTTGAGATGGAAGTAGATTTGTCAAGAGAGACGTTGGAATTGGATTTTGGATGTGGATCGTCGGAGATGAAGGAGGAGGCAGCCACAGTGGAGGCGGCTGCGGTGGCGGAAGAGAAGGAAGTGAGTAAAGGGATGGGTTTGAAGCTGGATTATGAAGCGGTGAAGTCGGCTTGGCTGTTGACCGGAAGTACGCCATGGATGACCGGAGAGCGGCCGCGGCTGGGCGCTGACGATTGCTGGCTTGACTGTTTGGTAAGAAATCATACATAAGTAAATTGATTGTGAATTAATGAAACATGCAGAATTTAAAATTTGGGTAAGCTCAAAAAAAAAAAGAATCTGAGACACTGAACAGAAATAGAAAGAAAGCTAAATGATATCATATAATTATGTATTGCATCAAAAAAAAAAATCCCCACAAAATAAGTATGTTAATTCATTAATAGTTTTTATTACATTAGAATTTGGATAATTATGTTGGATTACACATATAATTATAGTTTTGAATTTGCCCCTTGTGTTTTTTATTGTTAATTAATAATTTTTTAAAAGAACTTCATGAAATTGTTAGAAAATCTCAGAATTATAAATATTTACATACACATAAAATGGAGTATAGATCACTACAGGAAAATAGTGTGATATCATAGGTCCAAATTCGTTGGAAATCGTAAAATTCTGTCGGAAAATATGTATTTCTGACGAAAATGTAGTCGACGATAAAACGCGCTTCGAAAACCTTGTTCTTGCGAAATATTTTCCGCGGGTATTCCAAGTTTTTCATGTAGTGGCTCAAATCCTAGTAATTCTTTTGGGTGAAATGAGCTTAGTTAGCTAGGGTTCCATGTGAATCAAGTATGAGACAATTGGAGGAAAAATTATTGGTTAGGTTTATTTTATGGTTCAATTGTGAATTGGTTTGTATTACTTTACATCTTTAAATGTTAAATCTCTATTACAATAATTTTACATAATAATACAAAATTATATGGGCTAAAATACAAATGCTCTAACTTATGAGAGAAATATGAGCTTTGTTCTTCAAATAGTTTCTCCTATATTCAAAGAATTCTTCATTATTGCATCAAAAAAAAAAATCCCCACAAAATAAGTATGTTAATTCATTAATAGTTTTTATTACATTAGAATTTGGATAATTATGTTGGATTACACAAATATTATAGTTTTGAATTTGCCCCTTGTGTTTTTTATTGCTAATTAATAATTTTAAAAAAATCATGAAATTGTTAGAAATTCACTGAATTATAAATACTTACATACATATAAAATGGAGTATAGCTCACTATAGGAAAATCGTGTGATATTGACGGTCCAAATTTGCTGGAAATCGTAAAGTTCCGTTGGAAAATGTGTATTTCTGACGAAAATGTAGCCGACGATAAAATGCGAAACCTTGTTCTTTGCAAAATATTTTCTGCGGGTATACCAAGATTTTCATGTAGTGACTCAAATATTAGTAACTCTTTTGAGTGAAATGAGCTTAGTTAGGGTTCCATGTGAATCAAGTATGGGACCGTTGGAGGAAAAATTATTGGTTAGGTTTATTTTATGGTTCATTGCGAAATGGTTTGTAACACTTTGCATCTTTAAATGTTAAATCTCTATTAAAATAATTTTACATAATAATACAAAATTATATGGGCTAAAATACAAATGCTCTAACTTATGAGAGAAAAATGAGCTTCGTTCTTCAAATAGTTTCTCCTATATTCAAAGAATTCTTCATAATTTGTGATAATAGTGGGTTGTGGCATTGTGTCAGCTTGTAGAACTTGAAGAAATTTACTTAGGATATTTGTACTAAAATATATAAGTATATTATTGTCTTGTGAAGAAGATATTAAGCTTTCAATCTATTGAAAATATCCTATAATTTGTTAAAAATACATATGTTATATTTAACTACGAAAATTAATGAGAATGTTTCTTATTGAAAATTTGGAATTACAAATTTTGATATAAAAATCATATTTTTATTTGGCTACTAATTGCTTGTTATTTTAAAAAAGAAAATTTAATTTTATAATCTTATATATTTTAGCATAATAGTTGCAGGAGAATTATTTTTCAAATTTTTCAGAAGAGAAAAAATTTATGATGATGCTCACAATAGTCTTTAAAAATCTACTTAAAAGGATATTTGATTAAAAAAATTATTGTATTTGCCCTATTTATTAATATATTTACTTACTGTTTTTTGCAGGGAATGTGGGGAGGAGTAGGAGGAGAATTTGTAGGAGGAGGAATTCAAGCTCTGGATGTCGGAAGAGAAGCAAGAGTAACAAGATACAGAGAGAAAAGAAGAACAAGACTCTTCTCCAAGAAAATAAGATACGAGGTAAGGAAGCTCAACGCTGAGAAAAGGCCTAGGATGAAGGGCCGATTCGTCAAAAGGGCGTCTTTTCCGGCTACCTCCGCCGCCGGAGGCAGCGGAAGCACCGGAGGAGCCGCCGCTCTTGCCTACTGATTGAAAAAGGTGAGAGCTTTGGAGGCGAAGTTGACTGAAACTTGCTGAATCTTGATCTCGAGGCTGGAGGCTCTTTTTTGTGCAGTTTAATGGGGTTTTTTTTTCTCTCTCTCTCTTTTTGCGCACTGGAAATAACTATGGACATGCGGCTAAGCGGCTGTATGCGTGAGGAACTTTAATTTTTGTTTATTTTTGTAAATTTCTTTTGTTTATTTTGACTGTAATAAGTTTTGGAAGAAATAAAGATCACTGGTGTGCATTGTAGAGTTCTACTTTGAGATCTATTTAAGAAGCTTAGATAGAGGAAGGTGGAAGAAAAATTATTTAATGCTAACTAAAGTTAGTATTTTTTTCGTTTGAAAAAAATCAAAATGAAATATAACTCACAACAAAAAACTATGATTTCTGCAGTATTTTATAGCAGCGGTTTTAAAAAAAAAATCTTTTTTATATTAGTTTAAATCACAACAATTAAAATTTATTTTAATCACAACTTTATAGCATTGGTTTTAACGTTGAAAAAAAAAATTTGCTATGCGCAAGCCTAATTTCTCAATATTATCACGGTTGAGACCCCGCCTTCATTCCACTTCACTCTTCCTCTTTCCTTCTCTTTCGTGGATCAGCCCGATAGCGGATCTATAGTGGTTCCTAAATCACTACAAATAAATTAGTAGGTGTTTAAACCGCTGCAATAAATCTTAAAAAAATAATGCGAAAGTCTAATTTATTAGTTGTGACTTAACCTAATAAAATCACAATATATTGGTATGAACAACTTTTGCTAGGGACACTTTCCTTAAAACACTATATTCAAGAAATTCTGAACATCTTCTGATTGTTTATATGTTTTTTGTATTGTTACCTTACAAAATATGAAGAAAGGCCATTCTTTAATATATCAAGAAATAATTGATAGTTAAAGAAAAAATTATATTGATCATCATCTTGATCATATTAAAGAAAATTCTTATAATCACTAAATAAAATATTATTTGGGTCAAAATACGGGCTATTATATTTATAGTCTAACTAAATATCTCGATAAGGCAAATCTATCAACACCAAAATTGACCCGATTTGACTCCAAATCAGCCTAAATCCACTTAAATATAGTTTAAAATATCATAATATTATTTCGAGGAGCAAATAGTCACAAATTCTTACATGTTTATTATTAAATCAAGTGTCTTAGTGAAATGAATCCACTGAGGCTAAGATACTCTAATTCACATCATTAGAGCACTCAAACATCCAAAGAATGATCTACGGTGAATAAAATTAATAGGAGATATTTGATGGAGTATTTTATAATTTTGGCTAGATTTATCAAAATATCACTCTACAAAAATCTATAAAAGACTCCACTTTCAACGTGAAAAAGTGAGAGCGAGAGCTAGAGCTTAGGTCTCAAGTTAAAATTGGAAGGTGCTTTGCCTTTGGACCACCACCTAAGCACTGCCATGGGCAACCATTATTACACCACCACCACCATCTAATCATTATAGTTATTTCGCATTATTATATCACTGTCACCTGACCATAGCCCTTAAACTACTGTTGTTTGGCCACTATCGTAGAGCCATTGATGTCCTAGTACAACCATCAAACTACTATCACATGACAATCTTCGTCAAACCACTATCACCCAATTAAGATCATTCGATCATGATCATTTGGTTACGTGTGTCCACCCAATCATCTTCGCCTGACCATGATCTCCTCATCATTGTCATCCAACTACATCTTTGACCTATTATAATAATTCGACCAACATCACTCGACTACAATCCCCTAATCACAGTCAATCAATTATGATCCTTCGACCACCTAACTACTACTTCCTCTTAGCATTGTCACATGAATATGATCAACTTATTGTTGTCACTTGACTATGATCCTCGACCTACATTTTCTGAACTACACCGATGCTAACTAAATTCGTCTCTTGCCACCACCAATAACATCTGTGCACGCCATTAAGATTAATGCATGCCATCATTACAAATTTGTTGCCCGTTGAATTTTTCACCACTAACATCGACACATGTCATCACCTATAACCTAATGCATACCATCGACACCAACTCTGACTTCCAACATAAACACGAAGATATAATATCTTCTCCTCCATAGAGAACTACCAATCATACAACAAATGATCATTTGTGGATACTCACTTCCAACTTCTATCATGAAATTCATTCTATATAATTTTTATTTATTATATTATATCACTTAATTCTCCATTACAAAAAAAAAAAGATTTTATTTATAATCGATAATATACATTTTCTCTAACATTATAAAAATTACAGTACAAAACATTATTGTAATTTGAAGTTCCCAATTAATTGACTTGGTTAAAACTCCTGCCAATTGGCATCATAATCTACGTGGTGGGGCATCAGCATTAATCGCCGTCCGTGTTACCACGTCAGCAAATTCCCAGCCTACATGGCAGTTTCTTTCTGCCGGCAATCCCACCGCCCTTCCATTCCTCCAATACGTACGAAACACCGAACTTCCACCAATCATTTTTCACAATTCATTTCAATTCCACGTGTAACAGTTTCCTATATCTAATTTCCTGTTCGCTGTTCTGCCGGATTCTCGTTCAACCTCTGCCATCCACGTGGCAAACATCTGTAAACTCGATGACCGGGTCCAACACTCAGTACTGCACCAAAAACAGTTGTACTCCTTGAAACTAGTATTCAATTATTACTAACTAATGGTCAATTAATATTCAAAAAATATTTTTATTAAAAAAATTAGTTTTGGTCCATAAATAATTAGATCTCTTATGCAGCCTTGATTGACCAAACAACAATTATAATTTTGTGGACAAATAATTTTGATTGATAAAATAATTAGTTGATCCAAATTGTATTCTATTTAAAGCCATTATGGTTGTAAACAAGGTTTAGAAATCCGACAGAACCGGTCCAACTGTGAATTTAGTCTTCGTTTGGGACAGTTTTTTTTATTGTATTATAAAATAACTTTTTAATACAACATATTTTAGTTTGAAAAAAATTATACTGAGAAATTGTTTTAAAAAGCAATAAAAAAATCTTCTCAAATAGGCTTCATTTTGAGGAACTTTTATTAGGTCCGGTGTAAGGATGTAGAGGAATGTCGGGTCGGAGGTAAAATCCCGCCAAAAAATTCGGTATTTGCTTGGTATTACTAGGTATTATTTGATAATAACGAGGAATACCGCTCTGTGAAGATCAATACCGAGTTATATCGAGCTATACCGAGCAATACCGAGTTGTACCGAGTTTTTTCTAGGAAAAACTCGGTACACCTTTTGTTTTGCTCGGTATATCTCGGTATAACTAGGTATTGATCTTCACGTGATGGTATTCCTCGTTATTGTTTGGTATTGCTCGGTATTTGCTCGGTATTTCTCATTTTTTGACGCGATTTGGCCTCCGACCAGACGTTCCTCTACGTCCGGTCAGAGGATGTAAGCGAATGCCGAACATGTTTAGAGGAGAATGAGGAGGCGCCACGTCGCCCAATGCACTGTGCATTGCATGACATGGTGCCTCCTTAGTCCGCACATAATAATTTTTCTCATTTTGAATAGTTTTTTGTCATTGTATTTTCGATGCTTTCAAGATAAATTTTACTATAACTTGTTTTAAAAAGCAGTAAAAATATTGTCCTAAACGGTGTCTTAGTCCACAACGAAGATTAGTGAAATTGTGGCTAATAGGAGTTTGGATCAATAAATAAGTGAACCAATGAGATTTGATTGAACAATTTGGTTTATTCTTTGATCAAATTTTATGTTTGATATAATTATTCTTTTTCAATTAGTCTCTTGAAATTTTATTTTGATGTAAGTGATGTAAAGCTAAATTTATTAGATAAAAGTAGTATCAAAAATAATTTTTGATATATTTATGCAATTGGTTGTCAAAGCCGAATTTGTTTTAATTTATTGTTACTTATGTTGCGGGCTAGAATATACGCGGCGGTAGAGTTTAGAAATTCACGTCCGAGCGTTGCACAAATATTCAGCACACAAACAGAAAAGAAAATGAACACTAGGATTTTTACGTGGAAAACCCAGAAGAGGGAAAAAACCACGGGGCCATGCCCAGCTGAAAAGTTCCACTAGTGTTTTTGTAAATTACAAGAAACTGATTCGTCCCACAAATCGGGATGATCAGATTACAACTTGAAGAAAATTTACAAAGTTTTGCAGAATCCTGTCGTTTTCCGAAAATCCGGCAAAGTTCCGGCGTATTCAGGTGGCGGGAAGAGCTCCGGCGATGGTCGAGGAGGAGAGGATTCTTCTTTTCCCCTTTCTCTTCTTCTTCCCTTCTTCTTCTCTCTCTTGACTTCCCTCCCCCTTGTGAAGAATGAGGGCTCTATTTATAGTTTTTCTGGAGTGACATAGCCCGTAAATAGGTGTGAGATCAGGGGCGAATTGGGAGTGGTTTGAATGTACGGCCGATATTGAATCCTTTGATCATGCACTATTCGTTGGACATTTGAAGGCCTTAATGATGTCAGAATTTGGTGATATTGGGCTCGTTGGATTCGTCTCGTCGAGCCGCTCGATTTAAGTTAAACTCGTTAAAATTGGAGACCGTTTGGTAACTCAAATTACGGTTTGAACCTTTCAACAGCGCTTCGGGTCCTTGATTCAGACCCATTTGGGCTCGGATTGGGTTGAAATTGGTGTCGTTGGGTTCGTATTTCCAAGACGCTTAGTTTGACTATAAGCTCGCTGAAATCGGAGTTCGAATGCTCTTGATTTTATTTTTTGAAGTTTCTGATTAGATTTTGTCTCGAGATTCGTGCTTGATCAAGATAATTACCTGAGAATACATCAACTTATATATCTTTTTTAGCCTATAATTATTTTCACTATTCTAAAGCTCATTTTTAAAGTGTTGATATTTTTTATGGAAGGAAATAAAAGATTATTAATGGAATATTTGAATTTCGATTATGACTAAAATAATTACTCTTCTAAATATTAAAAGTACTTGAATTTTAAATTTTATAATATATTTTATTTGTATGCTTTATAATTCATAAAATAAATTCTTAAAATTTTTATCATATATTTATAATGTTATTATACATTTAAATAGTAATTAAATAATTTTATTTTGTGCCAAAATATTCACTGTGGTAGAGTCAGAGCGTTCGTTGTTTGGGCATTGCATGAAAACCTCTTACTCTTACCGCGCGGCCCGACGACCCGGACCCGATATTGCTATGTATTGACTGATTTGTGCATAATGGTGTATTGTTATGTATTGCTCGGCATTTCTCAGTATTGCTCGGCAATAACGAGAAATAACAATCTGTCAAGACCAATACTCAGCAATACCGAGCAATACCCCGATTTTGCTAGGTATTGCTCGGTATTACTAGGTATTGCTCGATATTGCTAGGTATTGGTCTTGACAAAGCGGTATTTCTCGTTATTGTCAAGCAATACCTAGCAATACCGAACAATACCTAGCAATACCGAGCAATACCTAGCAATACCCGAACATAGCAAAACCAGGTTCCGGTCTGGGTCGGGTCGTCGGGCCGCGCGATAAAGAGTAAGAGCACGTGGCAACATATTATTGACGTCCGGATTTAGAGCTATGTCAGGTGTCTGGACCTAATAATTATTCCACAGTTTGAGTAATAGTGGTTAGAATGCTTGTAATTGGACGATTGTGGTCAAAGGACTATGAATGAGCGACGAAAGTCAGAGAATTATAGCTGAGCAATGATGATTAGAATATTGTTTCTAATATTTCAAAATTATTTACTAAATTAAATTACTAATATTAAAAAGAATATTTATATAATATTATATAAATAATAATAACTCCAGGCATCTCTCTCCTCATTTCTCTCTTATTCTGCTTCTATCTCTCTCCCCATTTCTATTATTTTGTTTACTTTAAACTAAATAAGCAAAATGATATGGGATATTCAAATTTCAAAATGTGTAAATTATTTGAAGTATTCAAAATGCATCAAACATTTGACTATTTTGAACCTTTTTAAATTATTTTTAAATATATTCTTTAAAGTAATTTTAACAAATAGCATACTCTTTTTAAAATTTGGCCGTTTTCCTATGATTAGAAGCTGGCCTTCAAAGAAAGTTCTGCCGCCTCAAAGCTAGTCGTGCAGGCTCGATAGCCAACTTTATCTTTTAGCTTTGTTTATCTGATCTCTCTCTCTCTCTCTCTTCGCTGAGAATCTTGCCTTCTCCTTCTACCTCTTCTTCGTCTACTTCCTTCTTCCGGGAAAACTTCTCTTTTTAGTATTCTATCTATCCTCCTCTCCTCTTCGCAGCTCCAGCTCGAGTCCCATGGCATTCGCTCCAGTGGCCGTGCGCACTGCAGACGCGCTTCTTGCTCTCGCGCACGAGCTCGCTGCCATGGCCGCCGACGCAGGCGCTGCGGGATCGATGGCTGGGGAATCCCTCCGCCTCGCACGCAAGGTCTCTCTTCTTGTGCACCTACTCGAGGAAATTCGAGACTTCGCCTGGCGGAATGGCGGCGAGGCACCTTCGTCGTCTTCCCCGGCGGATAAGTTGAAATGGTCGTGCATTTCAGAAATGGTTGTTGCGCTACAGGTAGTAAGGAGGTTCCTTATTCTTCACAGAGGGAGGATTTTGGGCGAGAATTCCGTTGCGGTGAGTTTAAATCGGCCTCCGACTTGTTGGGTGGATTCTGTTTGTGCTGATTATTTGTTTGTTGAATTGCCTGTGGGAATCTGGTTCTTTATTGTCAGATGTTTGAGCTTCTTTCTCCAAGAATTTCTGCGCTTCCCATCATTAAGCTCTGTTTTTATCTTTTTTTTTTTGTTAATATTGAGCAATTCTGCTGTTTTCTCGTATATATCGATGATTAGTGTAATGGAGGAATTTGTAATTCTTGATTAGATAATCATTATTTCAAATCTTTAAAGAATTTACAGCATTATAATGAATCCTATTCAAACATCAGCGTCGACTTTTCCCAACAAGTTTTGATTGAGGCTAAACTTGTTGGGGTTTTCGTTTATGCAGATTACCTGCTTCTTGAGTTGCTTCTGAGACTCTGATTTTTTGTTAGATGAACTTTTATGCATTGAGTTGAAAAAGATATCTTCTTTTTTGTTACAGGATAAAAATAATGGAATGTTTGAGCTTCTTTCTCAGAGAAATTTTAGTGCTTCCCATGTTTTTGTCTTCTTTTTTTTTGGTGATATTGAACAATTTTGCTTTTTTCTTGTAAGTTTCAAAAAGATTAGTGCAATGGAGGCTCCTGGAATTCTGGATTAGATCATCCATCATTGTAATGAATCCTATTCTAATATGTTCAAACAACAGATTTTTCTGATGCGCATGTATAATATGTTGTTATTTGCCCCTAGAAATTATACTGATTAGCCTAAAAAACTACTTTTTTAAGGAATCAAAGTGCAACAATATAACAATCCAATACCAGTTTGTGGCATGGCAGCTGGAGAAGGTTATAGGGAACATTTCATATGAGTATTTCAAAATACCTGATGAAGTCCAGGAGGAGGTATATATATGCTGCCTTTGGGATGGCTTTCTTACTGCTTTAAGAAGCAATAAGAAAGCCATTCCAAACAAAGCCATAATATGATTTTATTTTATTTTATCTTTATTATACTATAAATTAGAATGTCTAAAGCTCATGAAGCCTTCTTATACTGGTTTTTCTCTAGGTTGAATTGGTGCGTGCCCAACTACGAAGAGAAACTAGAAAGGCTGGAACTGTGAATTTGAACATATTTCAAGAAATTTTTAGCTTGTTATCCTCTACCAGTTCCAAAGCTCTTAAACGGCAATCTCATTTTAAGTTGGAAGAAGTAAAATATGAGACTGATAGCAATATTGATCAGGATCTTTTAGACATAGTTATACTTGTTGCCAAAGTCAATGGTAAATCTAGGTATCATGCAGAGAGAATGCTACCCAATCTGATTGAAAGACTTAAAAAATCTGGCGTTGTTGGCCTCACTGGTAATGTAAAAGTTGAGAACAAGCTGATGGAATATGGAAGGAGCATAGCAGACGAGAACAATGCTGATTCTCCTGTGATTCCGGAGGATTTCCTGTGCCCAATTTCTCTAGAACTCATGAGAGATCCTGTTATTGTTTCCACGGGCCAGGTACTTTTTAGTATTCAATCAGTCAGTTTTGTATTTCCATTAAGGTTGGTGTGTCTGGTCCTATTGATTCGGTCTGACTCAATCTGAACTCGAAATTTATGAGTTAGCTTGTTTGAATTAGACTTGAAATCAAAATGTTTGAATCAGCTTGACTTGGAAAGAGTCTATTTCGAGTCAACCTGAAATGAGTTCAATTGCTCTAATTAATCAAGCTTCAATAAAAAAAGCATAAATAATGTGGAGGTGCACTAGGAGAGGTTCAAATCTCTACCCTTTATGATTAGGATTATAAGTTAATAATTGAAATCACTTGTTGAAAGCACAAATGTGTATGATAAATGGCAGCTTGAATCACATTTTGATCGTTTCACTCGAAATGGAGTGGAAAAAAAATCTCACTCATTGAAATTTATTGTCTTGATTTTGATTCGGCTCAAAACTGGAGCAAATCTCAAGCAAAATTTCCAGCTCTAGTTTCCATCTTGCTTCACATGAATGCTTTTATTACTAGATTTATTACCAAAGTCAAATTTCCACTTTTGACTCTTAATGCATGAATTTGCAGACATATGAGCGCTCTTTTATTCAGAGGTGGATTAACTGTGGTAACAGAACCTGCCCTAAGACTCAGCAGAAGCTCCAAAACCTTACTTTGACTCCTAACTACATACTGCGAAGCCTAATCATGCAGTGGTGTGAGGTTAATTTTATGATCGAACAACCTCCCCAACCTATCAGTAGGGCCAAAAGTGATGGCTCACTTGATGAGAGTACTAAAGAAAGTTCTTTGATTGAGGCTTTAGTTTCGAAACTCGCAAGTAGGTCGCCGGATGATCAAAAGTTGGCTGTGGCCGAAATCCGCTTGCTTGCGAAAACTAGCATGAACAACAGAATAATCCTATCTCAAGCTGGAGCAATTCCAGCTCTTGTGAGTCTCTTACATTCAGAAGACAAAAAGTCTCAGGAGCATGCAGTGACATCCCTTCTCAACCTCTCAATGTATGATCAGAACAAGGGAGAGATAATCCTTGCAGGAGCAGTTATTCCAATTGTTGAAGTACTCAAATTTGGAAACATGGAAGCTAGAGAGAACGCTGCAGCTGCACTATTTAGTTTATCTCTAATTAATGAGAACAAGATAGCCATTGGTTCTACTCCTGGAGCTATGGAAGCACTCATAAAATTGCTTGAGACTGGTCGCCCAAGAGGAAAGAAGGATGCTGCAACTGCTTTGTTCAATTTGTGCATCTATCAAGGAAACAAGTCGAGAGCTATAAGAGATGGAATACTTGGGCCTTTACTTCTCATGCTTGAGGATTCTGAAACTGGACATTTGGTGGATGAAGCACTGACCATTTTATCCCTTCTTGTCAGCCATGAAGAGGGAAAGGAAGCTATAACAAATGCGAATACGATTCCAATTCTGCTCGATTGTGTAAGAACTGGAACAGAACGCAATAAGGAGAATGCTGTGGCGATACTGCTTGGAATTTGCCAAAACAACAGTAAGAACCTTGCTTATATGGGTAGGCTGGATGCAGTTGTTCCTCTTACAGAGATTGCAAGGAGCGGCACAGAGAGAGCAAAGCGCAAGGCTATTTCTCTTCTGGAACAGCTGCGAAAGATGCAGATTCACTGACCCCTTTTTATTTTTTTTTGTCTTTTGTATATTGAAAGAGTAACTGCAATTCTTGTTCTTTATTTTGCTATAACAGTTGATTGTAAGTTCATGGCGTTGTATTATCAATTTATTTCATTCTTTGATAAAATTAGTATACACATGGTTTTCACAATTTTTTTTGGTATTGATTTTGTGCCCAAATCTTTAAGGAAAATATCAAGAATGACATTTTTCTAAGATGGGTAGATTGTAATAATTTGATTTTTTTAAATGAAAAATCTAAATATCAGCGTCTTGCCTTATCAAAGAAGAGAGAGGGAAGAGAGAGAATGTTGTTCAGTGATTTTTCATATATCAATTTTGTTTAGAGATTTATTTTATTTGTTGTAAATAACTCAATTCTCATTTTAGTTTTCAATGATTTTGATTATTATTATTGCGTCTTGGAGTATTCGTGACGGTAGAGAAATATAAACTTTATCGTCTTAGCGTTGTACGAAAATCCGGCACGCAATCAAATAAATAGATAGGATGTGTGGCATTTATGAGACACCAAGATTTTTACATGAAAAACTCCTGAAAAGGGGGAAAAATCTACTGGGCCTAGCCCAGTTTGAATGAATACATTAGTATTTGCAGTCGGTTACAAATGAGTCCCTTCCTTGGGGGGAGGCCTTTGCTTGATATACATCTTATAGAGTACATTACATGATGACAATACAAAGAATTACTATTGATGTGTTCATTTGGTATAAAGGACTGTAGTCGGCGAACGACGTAAGTCGGAAGGACCATAGTCGATGGGCGACAGAGATCGGAAGGACTGTAGTCGATGAGTGACGTAAATCAGAAGGACCGTAGTCGGCGGGTGACGGACGATGAAGGTCAGAAGGATGGCATCAGGTAGAAACTTGGCGACGAGCGGAGGTCTGGCGTCGGGTAGAAGTCCGACGTCAGTTGGCGACCGAGGAGAACTCCGGCGTTAGATGGTATTCGAGCAGAACTCTGGCGTCATTTGGAGTAGGGTGAAACTCTGGCGTAACTTGGAGGTTGGGCGGAATTCTGGCGTTACTTGGAGGTCAGGCGGAATTCCGGCGTCACTTGGAGGTCTGGCGGAATTCCGGCATCATTTGGAAGTCGGGCATAATTCCGACGTCACTTGGGCAGAATTCTTGCATATCGCGGAAGTCAGGCATAATTCAGGCGTCACTTGGGCAGAATTCTGGCATCAAATGAAAGTCGGACAGAATTTCGGCATCACTTGGGCAGAATTCCGGCGGCGGTGGTCGAGGAGGAGTTTCTTCCCTCCCATTCTTCTTATCTTCTCTTCTCCTCCTCTTCTTCTCCTGGCTTGGGTCTTGGCTTTAGCCCCCCCCCCCCCCAAGAGAAATGAGGGGCTATTTATAGTTTTTTTAGGATGGCATGACCCATAAATAGGAGGAGGATCAAGGGCAAATGTGGAGTGGTTCGGATGGACCGCCGATAATGAATCCCTTGCTCATGGACCATTCATCAGACATTTGAAGGTCTTAATGATGTCAGAATTCAACAATCTTGGGCTCGTTGGATTCATCTCGTCAAGCCGCTCGATTCGACCATAAGCACATTAGGTTTGGAAATTGTTTGGTAACTCAAATTATGGTTCGAATTTTCCAACAACACTTCGGGTGCTTGATTTGGACTCATTTGGGCTCGGATTGAGTCGAATTTGGTGTCGTTGGGTTTGTATTTTTGAGATGCTCAGTTTGACTGTAAGTTTGCTGAAATCAAAGTTCAGGTGATCCCGAATTTAATTTTTGAAGTTTTCGGTTTGATATTGCCTCGAGATTCATGCCGATCAAGATAATTTTTTGATGATATATCAATTATATATATTTTCTTATAATGAACAAAATCGATTATTTCTTACTACATTTTAATTGTGGCATTTGCATAAACAAAAAAAGTTGGTTGTTAATACTATACAATGGATTGACTGTTAAAACATAATACACATCACAGGAGGATGGGCCGACGAGCTTTCCTTTAAAGATGGTTTGTGATGTTATCCCGATTGTAACATGTAACAGATGACTGATTATGATGATGAGCAGATAATGATGACTCTTTGTTGATTTAATGAAGTCATATGTAATGATAATTAATTAATTGGATAAGTGCTAATTGATATTGTTGATGACCAACTAAGAATAAGTTGGGGGAAAAGATGTTGAAAACATCACATTAAAGTTGATGTCTTGTATTGCTAAATAATACATTGATGCATTCATATATTGATAGCACTGATGACATTGACAAATACATTAATATTATTGACAATATTATATGTATTGATAATACATAAACAGATGATGCATATGAATATATAAGATAGATTCTTTTAGTGATTTATGAATGATTTTGCTGCCAAGGTGTTATATATTATAACGCTGCGATGCTGGACGACAGAGAACATGTCGTTGTAAAGTTGATATTTTGACGCTACGATGCTGCCCTACTGAGAAGTTAGATCTGCAATGTCCTTTTTGTAGTGCTCCAACATTGTCTTTGAAGGCGTGGTGGCGTTTATTTGTCCAACGTTGCGGCACTGGATGATATTTATAATTTTATGCATTTTTTATATTTTCCCTGCCCATCATAACTAAAAGAATACATTTTCACTGAAAATATAACACGTAAAATACACATTATTTACACTTATCAGTGTCAAGTATGATTTGAACCTTGTTCAAAAAAATGCTTAAGCGTGTATTTGAACCATCTTCAAACAAAATTCAACTCTTCCCTCAAGATGATTTGAACAAGTTTTGAACATATTTTTTTGTTCCTCCATCTCGTTCTTCATTAGGTCTCTATCAAAAATAAATAAAAAAGATACAGACATTAAGACAGAGATTAAGACAGATTTCCCAAAAAAAAAGATTAAGACAGAGATTTACCATTTTAATAAACTTGAACTAAGCAAGAAGGGATCAAGTCAAACGAATATGTACAGACATTAAGACAGAGATTTACCATTTTATTTTGCAAATTTTGTTTTTCAACTGCAAATCACATTTTTATATTATTTATTACTTGATCTGCATTAAATTCGATTAAATGATAAATCAAAATATTACAAAAGCTGTAGTTATTGATATGACAATCTTATTATATTATGCTGGATGAAAGTGACAGAAAAATAATAACCCAATTTGCAAGAGAAGTTAAAATTTTAATGCTGTCTGATTTTGTTTGCCAGTTAAACGATCTAAATTTTGGTTGAATGGAGAGTACAATAGAAATTTTGATATATCAAAAATATTTGTAATTATTTGGATGAATATAAAATAAATATAGGTGATTTTTATTTTGGTTAAATTAAAATGAATGCATTGTAAAGCTCAATGATGATGATAGTCGAAAAAATTAGTAGGTGGTAGATAGCAGTGATGACCGATGTCAGGTAGAGGCCATTAGTGGCTATGGCGGCAGAAACAATGGGGGTGATGGCGATCGGGAGTGAGTGGCAGGCGGAGGAGGCTAGTTAGTGATGAGCAGAGGATCGAAGTGCCGGCAGCGGTGGCTTGCGAATACAATGACAGAGAATTTCAGCGTATTTGAAAATTAATTAATTATGAAGATTTCTAAATACATCAAAATTGAATTAAGTCTTTGGGTTGAAGTAAAAGTTGTGTAAAGTATTCCAAATGTTGTGTAAAATTTTACAATGCATTTGTTTGAATATTGGCATTTGGTTTTAATTAAAACAAATGCAATGTAAAATTTTGATGTATTTGGAATTCATCATCTAGTTCATTTTTTATGTATTTGAAAAATTTCAAATTTGGGCAAGTTCCAAATACACCATAAATTCATCGCCTTTTCCATCACCACCTCCACCCACCATGATCATTGGGCGTCGCCGCCTCCGTTGACCACTGCCCCCCACAAACCACCACAAACCACTACTGGCTACCACCACCCACTGTTAGTTACCACCGCCACGCCACTAACCAACGGCCGCCATTGCCACGACCGTTGCCGACCATAGACCACAATTGCCACCATTGGTCGTCGACCACCATCATCGTCGGCCATCACCACTACCACCGCTGACCACATGTAGTCGCCACCATTGCCCACCATTGTTCACCGCCGCCGACCACCGAACACAACTACTGCCACAACTGTCGCAACCTGTCGCCAGCCATCCCCCACTACCTGCTGGCATCAAACACCCATCACCGCTACCACCACCCGGTGTCGCCGACCACCATCTTCTATGGACTTTATATTGCACTCATTTTACTACAAATCAAACAAAAAAGTAAAAATCTCATGCATTCATTTTACACTGCATTCCTTTTTAGTCAACTAAACAACCCCTATAAGTGAATTTCAAATACATCAAAATTTTATTATGTGCATTTGTCTACTTCAAACAAAACAACACCAATATCTGAAGATTGTTTGCAGCTTCTTGAAGAAGATTTTGTTCTTCTGTGCAAAGAAGACTGTACAAATCATCCAAACTGAGTGGTTGAAGATTCGTTATGATTGCAGTTTTAAAAGCTTGGTACGTCGCGGGAAGTCCATTTAGGGTATAGAGGATCACATCTTTTGGATCGATTTGGCAACCAGCTGCTGTGATAGAATCTACTTTGGATTTGATTCCAAGAAGATAGGCAGTCATCATTTTATCACCTTTGGTCAGATGATATAGGTCCTTTTTCAGCTGGATGACACGCAATCGGGTGGTTGATTGCAGCCGATTCGCAAGAGTTTGCCATATCTCGTGACAGTGGTTTAAGGAAAGCACATATGGAAGAATCGAGGTAGAAATTACCGAATAGAGTTCGACTGCTAAATTTTGATCGGTAAGAATCCAAAGATCGCGTGATACGGTGGATGCCGTTGGGCAAGACGATGATCCATCCAAGAACCCTTTGAACCCATTCGAGGTTAAAATCTTCTCCACTTGAGATCGCCAAATCAGATATGTATCTGGCGTATAAGATTTGGGAACTAATTTCTTGAGATTACTCATGAGAAAGATGAGTTGAGGTGGAATAAGTTGAGTTGGTAGGGCGGTAGAATCCGCATTTGTGGAGGAGTTTGAGGAATTCGACATCAGATGGATGCAAAACAGGAAAGAAATAAAGGATTGAAACAAAAAACAGAGAAGATAAAAATCAATCTGATACCATGATAACCTGATAAGGCTGTGAAGCAACATGTCGGGAAAAGTGGAGCTGAGCGAAATAGAGAAAATAAGAATTGTATTGATTGATTTCCTAAGTACAGACTAAGGTCCTTAAATAGAGAATTACAGTTGAACACGTAAGCAAGATTAAAGAAACTAATATAAGTACAATCTTGAATAACAGAAACTTCTAGAGTTATTTATTACTAACATCCCCCCGCAAGCTAATGGTTTCAGACGAAAGAATTAGCTTGTTGGTTAGTTCTTTGAACCGAGCATTTGGTAGAGATTTGGTGAACAAATCTGCTAACTGATCTTTAGTAGAGATGTGATGAACATTAATGCTGTTGTTTTGAATACATTCTTGGATAAAATGACAGTCAATTTCAATGTGTTTTGTCCGGGCATGATAAACCGGATTATTTGCTAATGCGATAGTTGAGGTGTTGTCACAATACAGAGTCGTCGATCCATTTTGAGGGCAATCTAGTTCTTGAAGTAGACGACGAAGCCAAATAATTTCTGTTGTATTTGCAGCTATTGCTCGGTATTCAGCTTCAGTAGAAGAGCGGGCAATGGTAGATTGCTTCTTTAAACTCCAAGAGATGAGGGAGTTGCCTAGAAAATTACAGTAGCCTATTGTCGACTTGCGATCCTGTTGATCTCTTGCACAGTCAGAGTCAGAATAAGAAGTCAGAGTTAAAGAGTTACCTGTTAAGGGAAGACCGTAATGAACCGTTCCACGAATATATCTGAGAATGCGTTTAAGAGCAGAAAACTGGACTTCGGTCGGAATGTGCATTGCCTGACTTGCTCGGTTTACAGCATATGCAATATCAGGGCGAGTTAGTGTCAGATATTGTAGAGCTCTTACTAGTTGACGGTATAAGGTAGGATTTGAAAATGTTGGTGATTCTGTAGAGACATTGGTTTTGGGATTGGAAGGAGTTTCCAGTGGTTTACAATTTGTCATACCAGCTCGTGCCAAGATCGATTCCGCATACTTCGTTTGGTGTAGCAGCAATCCCGTGGAGGTTCTCTCGGCAGTTATTCCTAAAAACTGATGTAGAGATCCCAAATTGCGCATGTTAAATCAACAATGTAAGCTATCCAGCAGTTCCACATTTCTTGATGAGTTGTTCCCTGTTAATATGATATCATCTGCATACACTGAGATATACATTAGTGAATTATTTTTAGAGTATATTAACAAGGAGGGATCCGCATTACTGGTTTGAAATCCAAACTGATGCAAGAACCTTGTGAAGGTTTCAAACCATTTCCGAGGAGCCTGTTTCAGGCCATACAAGGCTTTGTTCAATTTATAGATGTAAGTGGGATTATGCGTATCGATAAAGCCAGATGGCTGCTTCATATAAACCGTATCAGTAAGTGAACCATGTAAAAAAGCATTAGAGATATCTAATTGATGTAAAGGCCAATTACGGTGTAAAGCAATACTAAGAAGAATTCGAAGTGTAGGAATTTTGGCTACCAGACTAAACATGTCCGTGTAGTCGATACCAAATTCTTGATTGTAGCCAAGAGCTACTAATCTAGCTTTATAACTAGCAATCGTTCCATTTGAATTTGTTTTGGTGCGAAAAATCTATTTACATACTAGTGCATTTAAATTTGGAGCAGGAGGAATTAATTCCCAAGTATCTTGTGATTGAAGAGCTTCGAATTCCGTTGACATTGCTTGACGCCAATGCTCCTGCTTGATAGCCTGACTATATGATGTTGGATCGGAATCAGTGATTTGATGAGTAAGATCAAAAACTTTCTTGGGCCTCAGATTTCCAGTTTGAAACCTGGTTTGCATCGGGTGTTGAATTGGTCTGGACGTGGCAGTAGATTGAATGGGAAGCAGAGAAATAATAGGTGTAGTGGTCATAGCCGGCTGAGGACTCGGTGAGGTAGAAACCAATGGAGAGGAATGAGGAGAACATTATTTGATAGAATTTGTAGGAACCAACAGAGGCGGTGGCAGATACATTCTTGAATTAGTGGATTTGGTTGAAGAAGAATTATACAGTTGGTCTTTAAATGGAAAAATGTTTTCATTGAACAGAACTGTGGACCTCCGAAGGAGCACCGCTCGCGGGGGTTCGAACGCAGAGAGTACGGCCGCACTATCCCGTAGGACAAAACGATTGTAGGCCTCTACGCTCGACACGAACGGGTCGATGGGAGGGCAGATTGGATCGCGCATACGACTAACCATTGGGGATAGATGCTGTCGCCAGCACACCCCGATGGGTAGCAATATACACGACCTAGTCACGGGTTTCCCCCACCCGATACGAGAGATCGAGTGGGGTAAAGTAGATTGCGGGGCCAAGTTTCCCACGGGCGCAAGCCCCCGTGGTTAATTACATCCCGGGCCGGAGCCCGAGAAAACTCTCGATTAAGAATCATACATTATCTTTTCCAAATTGGGATTAGCACGAGGGTATAGACTAGGAAATCCTACTCAAAAGGAAGAAAGGTCCGAAGGGCTGAATCAAACATGCGTGGCTCAAACCAGCATTCGGAGGCTCTGGGGCACTAAACAGAAACTGGAGAAAATAAATCAAGCACTCGATCACATGTTTTCCCCAATAAAAAGAAAGTGATAGAAAATAGAAAACTGATCAGAGGGGCAGAATTAAGATAATGATTATTTTGTCTCTAATTATGGAACAATTATTACGGCCTCTGACCGGACGTAGAGCTACGTTCGGCCGCCAATAACCTGTCGCCACGTGCTCTTACTCTAAACCGTGCGGCCCGACGACTTGACCTGGAGCGGAACCCGGGAATGCTATGTTCGCGATTTTCTCGGTATTGCTCGGTATTTGCTAGGTATTGCTTCGCAAAAATGAGAAATACCGCTCTGTGAAGATCAATACCATGCAAATACCGAGTTGTACCGAGTTTTTTACAACTCGGTACAACTCTGTACAACTCAGTATTTGCTCGGTATTGCTAGGGATTTGCTCGGTATTGCTAGGTATTTGCTCGGTATTGCTAGAAAAAACTCTGTACAACTCGGTACAACTCAGTATTTGCTCGGTATTCCTAGGGATTTGCTCGGTATTGCTAGGTATTTGCTCGGTATTGCTAGAAAAAACTAGGTACAACTTGGTATTTGCTCGGTATTGCATGCTAGGTATTTGAAATATATCCAAAAGGTAATGGGATGTTGTTCGGCTCGTCAAGGATTTAAAAAAACGCACGTGCGAGAACCCAAAAAACAGCAGATCGGGTCGGCAACTTTTGTTCATGCTACGTGGCGCTAAAATATTGGTGGTCGAACGTAGAGGAGCGTACGTTCACCAGACCGAATAAAAGTTCCTAATTATGTGTGAAAAATGGATTGGTAAGCATTACTCATTTGAACATTTCCCATAGTGATATAATATATTTTCAAGAAAATGAAGCTAGAACATGTGGTGATGAAATCAATGGATCTTTCTATATTGACATATAAGTTTAAAAAAGAATAGGAAACTTCTTGCATGTAAGAATGTGGAGAAGAACCAAAACAGAATGGAGCGCTTTCTATAAAAAAAGTCTTTCTAGATTTCGAGAGCTGCAAAAGCTTGCATCTCTGTAATAGATATGAGGAAGGATGGGTGAAGAGTGTTATTGTATTATTATGGGTGTTGCAGGCTAAAAAATTTGTGACGGTAGAGTAAAAAGATTTTATGTCCTAGAGATAAACGAAAATTTAGCACACAAACAGATAATTAGGAGCTACCATCAACCATTATGTCTTTATACTTCAATCAATTTGATTAAATCATATCATTCAACCATTCTCGTCACTCTATCAATTATAATAGTAGTATCAATATTTATACTTTGTAATAGCAATCAGTGATAAAAATTAGTGTATCAGTATCGGTGTTCATACATTATCACTATACAGTAATCAATATCTGTATTATTATAATCAATATAATCATTATCAGTAATAAGTAATTAGTATTAATAATCAATAATCAATAATTAATATTCTATTAGATATTCATATGAGGGTATCTTGCTCATGCACTTATGACTCCCAATTAGTCACCCCTTATGACTTGCAATCAGTATACTCTTTATAACTCTCCTTGAATCATGTGAATAGGTTGTCCCAACTCCTTATAACTCTCAATCAATCTCCAATTTCTTATGACTCCTGTCAATAAATTAGTGAACTTGTGGGTATCACATGAGATTATCATATTATATATATCTAATATCAATCAGTATATTATTTCTATCAGATCAATATCAGTACACTACAATACATTCTTTAAATACACATTAATTATTTATATTCATAGTATTCTTAAATAAAAACACTTAATTATTTATTCAGTGCAAATTACACAAAAATTCATTAACTTCTATCTTATATCTTCAAATTCAAAGCTTAAAAAATTATAAAAAAATATTTATAAAATAAGTCATCATGTTTAAAAATTTGATAAAATCGGTTTGCAAAATAGACACCTGATGGTCCAAAAATCTTTCAATTATACCGACTTGTATCAATTTCTTAAGGATTTGCATCAATGTAAACAATTATAGAAAAATTTGTGTAATTAACACACTACAATATCTATGCTAAGACGAAGATGGTTTGTGATTTGGACTTATAATAACTCTTGAAAAAAATTATTTCACTGGATCAAAATATGGGTGACCAAGGAGTATAAGCCTTACAAGATGTTGGTATTCCAACAAGGTTTTTTTCAAAACATGATGTGATATGACACCAACCTCCACCAACTCTAAGTTAATATTTGTAACATATGATTTGATTTACTCCATCTTTAACTTCTATAGAATGTGGATGATATAGCATCATCATCTACATTCCTTGTGAACTTTTATTATTCACTTCTTACTTCTTAATAATATCATAACTTGTAGCTCTTTATACAAATTTTATGATGCTCCTCAACTTTATCATCATGTACACCTTTATTATATAGTTTTAATGGTAGCTTCTAAACTAGGATTACACCATTTGACCACCATCATATGCCTTGGTTAACCCATGTCCTAATTGGTTGGTCGAACAATGCAAGGGCAACATCAATTAAATCATATTTGGATCATGAAATGGCATGATTTATGTCATGTGTTATTAATAAAAGAAAGAATAATCCATTTAAGGACTATAATGCTTATCTTAAAACCTATAAAAGCTCACTTATTTGATTCATTAGAAGAGAATGTTTAAGCTCAAAAGGTTGCTTAGATCCTTTGAGACTTCTTATGATGGCATACTACTAGAGCATTAAGCCCTTATTACAGTACCAGAACATTAAAGGTTGTGCACATGTATGTTAAGCAAAAAAATGAATAAATAACTTACCCTTTGCATTTCACATTTATATAAATGTATATAACACATGAAATGTGTCATATAACTTCTATAAATTTATGTATAGCACACATATTCAATCTTTTATTAAAAATAAATACATATTTATACAACAAATTAAGGCTTTGTTTGGGACATCTTTCTTATTGCTTTATAAATATTCAACTTTCTAGTAAAAATTTTCTTGAACTATAAATTTTTGTACTAAAAAGTTACTTTAGAAAGCAGTAAGAAAGTCGTCTCAAACGAAGCCTAAATAATTCACATAACTTATTCACACCTTTATATAACACTGATATTTAATAATCTTCTTCACTAACAACATATTTTGTCCTTGCATGCTCATAATCATCAAACGGAGTTCTCTATAAAAACTAAAGTTTATGTATAGACAAAGTTTCAGATCCCAAGAAAATCAAAACTTTCATAAAATTCATGTCACTTAGGCTTCGTCTGGGACAGCTTCCTTCATGCTTTCAAAAGCATTAGTCTAGTTTAAGAAAATTTGGCACTAAAAAGTTGCTTTAAAAAACAATAAGGAAGTTGTCTCAAACAAACCCTTAATCTTTTTGAGCAAACTCAAATCAATATATTATCAATTTGGCTCAAGCTTTTATTCATATTTGAGGTATAGTTATATGTCTACTACTACCTCTACTCATAAAGAAATATATGTGTTTGTATTAATATGGACTCACATAATGTGTGAAGAAGCTGAAGACTTCATGGGACCTCTGACTTGTTGCAACAAGTTAAAAATTAACACACTGTGCATCACACAGTTTCAACATTATCTCATTGTAATGGTTCAATAAGAAATGTGATTATGAAGAAAAATTTTGATATAAACTTCTTTTAAATAATGATCAAATTTTGATCAACCTTGCTAGATGTTGTTCGAAAAATGTTTCAGCATTGATTGAAAATTTTCAGACATTGATCGAAGTATTTTCAAATCATGATCGAAGCTTCTTTGACAATCTTATTTTGAAATGCAAACAAAAATCGAATAAGCTTCGAATAATGCCGAACATTTTTCGATCAAAGCCATAACATATAACATGGTTTGAGTAAAAAGAGTTGTCAAATGTATAATATCACTAGCATTCAATGATAATAACAAGCTAGGAGAGTCAACTTCTGTCTTGAAAGATTGTTTATATAATGTTCGATCATCTCTTTGAATTCTAGAGATATTTTGATTCGAATGAGCACTCATATAGTCATAGAGATACATTTTTTTTGGTGGGAACATAAATTATGTTTTTCAAATATTCTCTCAATTTTTATCGTGGCAATTTAAAAAAAAAAACATTTAAATTTATTATTTTAAAAAATAAAAGGCAAGATGTAAAAAATTTATAATTATAGTACAAATTTTCATATTCTAAAAAATTTAAACAATTACTTTATCATCAATACAAATATATATATTTTTTTCATATAAGTGATTAAAATATTATTAGCCAATTAATATTCATATTGGTTGCGTGCTAGAATATACGCGGCGATAGAGTTTGTAAATTTGCATCCTAGCGTTGTACGAGTATTCAGCACACAAGCAGAAAAGTGAAGTGAACACCAAGGTTTTTACGTGGAAAACCCGAAAGAGGGAAAAAACCATGGGGCCTCGCCCAGTTGCAAAATTTCACTAGTATTTGTTTGAAGTACAAAGGTTGATCCGTCTTACAAATCAAGACGATCAATTTACAATCAACTTCTCACAAAGTTACAAATATTTATCATATAAAATTTTGATTATAATATTCTAACGTAAAATTTTTATATATAAAAACCAAAACTTTAATAGAAAAAATCCCCCTTTTTTCTTTCTGTATCCAATATTCTTGTTCGCAAAGGGATCATCCTCTGAGAACGAAGCTCGCGAAGGCTCCACTTCTTGGTCTTACCTTCGTTCTCCCCAGCTGTGAACAGATCCTCTTCCCAGTTTCTCTCTCCGTCTCTCTAATGGAGGACGTGAAGGACAAAATGAAGGGCCTAATTAAGAAGGTCAACAAACCCTTCTCCTCTTCCTCCTCCGCTTTCAAAGGCCAAGGTCGCGTCCTAGGTTCTGCCCCCTCCTCCACTCCTTCCAATTCCACCGCTTCCCGGTTACTCCCTCCTCCTCGACCTTCAGTTACCGCTACCAAGAGCCCGGCCGGCGTCGCTGCGTACGAGCCACTTGTCACCTCCAGCGAGAGGTCCGCTTCCGCTGCCGCCACTTTTGAATGCCCTATCTGCTCATCCTCTTTCCCTTCGGAAGAATCTGTTTCCGATCACTTGGACTCTTGTGTCGGTCCTTCAGCCGATGCCGGATCGGGTACCGGTGTCGTCAACGGCGTCGGCGGCTTCTTGTCGGGGGAACCGGCTGAAGCATCGGTTGAGATCGTGGTTAAGCTGCTGAGAAATTTGACTCGAGAACCGAGGAATGAGAAGTTTCGGAAGATCCGGATGGGGAATCCGAGGATTAAGGAAGCGATTGGGGATGCGGTAGGAGGGTTAGAGTTGCTGGAGTGCGTGGGGTTTAGAATCCAGGAGGAGGATGGTGAGAAATGGGCGACGATGGGGGAGCCGACGCGGGAGAGGATTGCGGTGATCCAGGAGGCGGTTTCATTGTTGGAGAGGTGGAAGGTAAAGGATGCTGCGGCGGCTCAGAATGGAACTATGGAGAAATTGGTTCCGGAGAAAGAGAGTGAGCAAAAGTCAATTGACCGTAAGGTAGTTTGCTTTCTCTGCTTTTGTTTTTTAGGATTTAATATTGAACTCAACTTTGTTGATTTTGGCATCTTGATTTGTGTTGTGCTTTTTAAGGGTATCATTCTCATTAGCTGTTCATGTTGTATTTCGTACATTGGATTTTAAAATTATTCTCCCAACTTTTGTTTCAAAATTTTAAATTCAATTCACTTTTGGCTTTACAAATTGGTTCATAATTCTACGTAGCTGTACCCTGTAGTTGGTACTGTCAGGGTAACTCTGATCTCTGTCGTGTGTTTGTTTGCTGGCAAGTTCCCGTGACTATGATGGGGTAAACTTTCATAGTTCATTATCTTGGTTTCGAATACTCTTTTGATAGTGTATTAGTGTGGTAAACCTCAGCTCTTTCCACCGATTTGGTTTAGCTGTTGTGTATGAAATGACTAAACCACTAGGGTACTGGAGTTTAGCATCTGATTGACATATATGGATGATGGTGCTGTGTCAAAATGCTAAAATCACTAGAAATATTGTTTTATTTTGAAATTTTTACAAACAAATAAGTTCCCAGCTTTCTAGTGTTAGAATCCCATGGTGAACACAAGTTAATGATTTTGGCATATATCGATTACAGTTTGATTTAGTTTCTAGAATTCTCGAAACACTTAATAAATTCGTAATGTTATTTTAATTGTAATTTGTCTGCCATTTCTTGCATTGTTGCTTTTACATTCTAAAACTTACCCCCGAGCTTTATAAAATCACCCAACAGTACAATCAACTTTTTCTTCACTCTCATTTGATTTCCTAGTCTGATCTAATGCTTGGAATTCTTCGTAGCTAAAATGTTTACTTTATTATTTGGATTAATTTAATTTTGCAATAACTCTTTGAGTTATTTCCGCATTTCCAAGAAAATCATAAGGTCAAACCAAGGTTTGAACTATTTGGGTTTCGGGAAGAAATCATGGTTTGCATGCTAGAGGATGCTTTTTAATCATCATTTATTAGCTTTGTGTCAAGTAGTAATAATCGGCTTTATGAACTCTCTACTCCATTCAATTCTTTTTTATTGAGTGACACATGTAGTTTTAGCTTTAGTTTATGGAAGTCTTTATTCACAACTTCGAAAGAAGTTTTCTTTTATTCATTAAATTTTCCTTAATGCCTGTCACTTTGATTATTCCTAACATCCTTATTGGTGCATCTTCTGATTTCCATTATGCATGCCCCCATCACCTCCCTATTTTCTATAAGGTATTACTCACAGAACTTCTCTAACACTATCATTTTTACACCATATTCATCCAAACTTAATGCACATTCATATTAATGTTCTTATTTCATCTATACTTAGCATAAATGTAGGTATTTATTTATTACACTTCGATCAATGTAATATAACTTATATGAGAGAGGGTTGAGTGCATCTCATTTCAACATAAACATAATTTATACAATCTTAGGAAAGTATCTAGTAGGAAAAACATGAAATTGAGGAATAGAATTAATCGCAAAATAAATAGAATAGTTCATGAATTGATGAGTTGGTAATAATGATCTTACAAATCAAGGAGGTGATAGTGGAAGAGGAAGGAAACATTGTGGAACTATTGTTAGTGCGGTCCCCAGTTGGTGAAATTTATGTTGGCATTTTACACTCCCCTCAAGAGAATGAATGAGTGCTATGCATTTCAAGCTTGTTTGATAATTTCTAAAAGATTAGGCCTAATAATCTTTTGGTGAGATTAATAATTTGTTCATTTGTGGTTACAAATAGAGTACATATAAGATCATTATCTAGCTTCTCCTTTATAAAGTGTCTATCAACTTCAATAAGCTTTGTACGGTAATTTTGTGAGGGATTATGTTCATTATTTATTACTGATTTGTTCTTATAAGACCTTTTCATTCAACTTTTAAATTATCTTGAATAATATTTAATCATAACAATTCGCAGATTCCTAGTTTCATATATATGAATTCGGCTTCTATAGTAGTTCTTGTTGTAATTTTTTTTTAACTTTTCCATGTTACAAGATTGTCTCTTAAAAAGGTACAATATCCTTAATTTGACCTACCTACTAATCACAGAGCATATAATTTGCATATGTGTAAACTTCAAAAGTTAGATACACCCCTTTTTTAAATAAAATTTGTTTACTTGAGATTATCTTCAATATTGTAGAATTCGATATTTTACCTTAAGATGTTATTATTTAGGATTGTGCATGAATTGATTGATCACACCTAGGGGTATCAGTATTTGACACAATCCGAAAAAGACCAAAAAATTTTGGGTTTGGGTCGACCCGTTTGGAAAAAGAGTCGATTTCGGGTTTCATGTTATGTCCCATTTCTAATTTTGGGTTGGGTTCGGGTCAATCTAAAAACTCGAAAGCAACCCGAACTGACCCGAGACCCTAGCCCGCCCCACTCCACAAAAGCTCCCACCCTATGCTTGCCCCGTGTTCATGCTCGCCTGCCTCGTCCCCAAGCTTGCCCCCACATCCCGTGCTTGCGCTCACAACCTTGCACCTGTGCCCATCTGCCTCGCCTTGCGATCTGTGCTAGCGCTCGCCGCCTATCATACGCAACCCATGCTTGCGCTCTCACGCTGTTCCCACCCGTGGGTTAGTAGGTCGAGTCCATTTTTGAATTTTTTATTCGTTTGTCTAATCGAGTCGGGTTCAAGTCAGAGCAGTTGAAGGCGGGTTAATTTCGAGTTGGATCCGAACCCAAATCGAAAACTCATTTTGACACCCCTAATCACAACTACAACGTAGGCAACATTATGTCTCGTATGTAATAAGTAGATAAGTCTTTTGACTAATCTCTAATATGAGGCTTTTCTTCAGTTTTGTATTCTGGAGAATTTCCAGATTTATAATTAAGTTTTACAAATTACTAGTCTCTTTCAACATGTATGCTATACATTTTTATTGTGAGATCAAGAGTGTGGAACTTTAATGCAAAGGAAGTACTTTAAATTGCTCAGCTCTTTGACTTTAAATTATTGGAATAATCTTTTCTTTAAACTCTTAATCTTTCACTCCACTATTTATCATGGTAAAATATTTAACATTAACTAGTAGTGTTGAGAATCCCCCTGAAGTTTTGTTTCACAAATAGTGTATGATCTCTTTAACTTTATTTATATCTCATATTGAGCATTTCCTTGGTGAATCTCCCAAGTCATGCCCTTAGAGGTTTCTTCAACCCATGCATTGTCTTTTCAACTTACATATATTTTGTCTATATTTTAGTTGAATATAAGGGTAACCTCCATATACATTCCTCCAATAAGCCATTCTTCACATAAAATTGCTATACCTTCCGACCTTTGTTAGTTATTAAAGATAAAAGAACTCTAAAAATATTCAATTTGGCTACTAGAGCAAATGTTTTAAGATAATCATTCCCACTTATTTGATTGTAGCCTTTGGATAGTTGTCTAACTTCATACATTTCTAGTGAATCATTGGATTTGTATTTTATAATAGACTCATTATATATCCCACTATTTTCTTTCCTTTTGGTAACTTTACTAATTCCATGTTTTACTTTTAATAGGATTCTATTTATTTCCTCATATCATTATTCAAATTCACATTAATTAAAGCTTTAGAGATTGTTTTAAAAATAAAAATAGTATGCTGGCTAGTAAGGAAGGATTGATGATTATGAGAAAAAAATTTATATGAAATAGGTGCAAGTGATGTTTAATTATTGTTCTTGTACTTTTATTTGTAGATTCAATAGTTCTCTTAATGGATTCAGTGAGATATTGATTCAATTGATTGAGCTTGCATGGATCGAGATGCCTTTCTTCTCGAGTAAGCTTGTAATGACTAAGTAGTAATTTGTTTTGGTATAAAATCGCTTTGGGTAAGAGTAGTTGGTTCTAGAATAGAGCTGTTTGCTAGGATGTGAGGTAAAGAAGGGAAATCTTAGAGAAAAAATTCTTTTATAAATGATTTTTATTTCTTAGAATGAATAGTAACAAAGTTGTGATTTTTTTTTTTTTCATTGAAAATGGCATTAGCAAACACATAAGGGTGGTAGCATTCTGTACCCTTTTTGTATAGAAAAATAAACACATAAGATACATTTAGTTGTTTAAGGGTCAAGTTTTTCTTTGTTTTGGGAATGTATATGAATAAGAAACATTGCCAAATATTTTTGTAGCAAGATTGTTTGAGGAAAGAATTTGTTTAGGACTTTTATAAGTCTCTTTGTCCAAGGAAGTTTGTAGGTAACTAGTTTATGATGTGGGTGGTTTTTTAAATTTCTTTCTTTTGGTATTATTTTGAAATAATTTTTTTTTTAAGGAGAGCCCTTTTAAAAGCAATTAGATGACCATTCTTTTGTTCAATTGCTCCATTTTATTTGAGTGTTGCAAGTATGAGGATAGAGACGTTAACTTACTCTTTGATGTTATTTAGATATGGCTATTTTAATTTTAACACTAAGTTGTTTTTATATCATGTTTAAAAAAAGGTGAGAATGATTATACTCAGGTGTGCAATCATCAATAAATGCTATAAATCATCAAGCTCCAGAGATGTTATGTGTGGAGGATTGCCCCACCTATGTTACTATGAATGGGAGAAGAAATAAGGACTCTTATATCATTTATTGAAAAATTGGTATGTTTGTATTTTGCTAGTTGACAATCAACACAATGAAATTCTTCAATATTGATTTATTTGAACAATGGAGGAAATGTTATTTTGAGAACAATAAAGGATGGATGGCCAAGGAGTAGGTGTTGAAGCTATATTTGTTTTTCTTTATTAATTTTAATGGTTTATGAGAGAATAGATAATAATGAAGGTTGCATAGAGTTTTCTTGATCGTTTTCTTGGTTTTGTAGAGATTTCTTTTTCTTTCATAAGCCTAACCATTCTTATTGTGCCTTGCCTTTGAAACACAAAAATATGAAGATAAAACACAACACTTCACTTGGAGTTTTTAGTTAGCTTTTGAATGAATAACATGTTTGTAATTAATTAAGGTAC